ATGGCAGGCTAATTTTAAATTCATAATCTCATATAGCCTACACATCCATATGGCTCTTGGCAGAAAAAAAGATCCCCATGCCTGATTTAAGCTGTAAGCAGAAGCAGAGAAGATTAGAAAGACAGGGGAGCACAGACAGTGATAGTATCTGGGAAGGCTAGAATTATGGACGCTTTGTTCACTAATATTGCAATGAGACAAAGCATGGGCACAGATGTAAGAAAGTGTCTGGTATGTAGCTAGAAGCTGAGAGCCCTGATTTTTCTCCTTGTACTAAACCCTGGTTTGCTTATCTAATGAGAATACAGAAGAGTGGGAATGTGAAATGGGGGAATAAAAAGGAGTTTTCATGAAAAAAAAAAACCCCTAATAATAGCCATTAGTAGGAATTTGAAGAAATCATGTTGAGTTGTAAGGACCCTGCCGTATATTATAGAAACAATGCCTTTTTAAGGTAGTGGATCTAAAATCTTACTGAGTAATTTTTGCCAACTTTGGACTGCCGTGAGGCTAATGAAAAGAAGAGGCAGATAGATTGACTTGGATTTTTGAGGTTTTCCAGAAGGTTATGATTTTAGCAGAATGGATAAAATCTAGTTCAACAAAAGGAAGTTCAAAGGGATATGTTGATAATTTTAAGGAAAAATTAAAGCAAATATCAAAAGATTAGTGAAATTAATGAGGTCAAGTTGTAGTAATAATAAAAATATGAGAATACTTCACAAAGTTCCTAGAAAAGCAAATTAAAAGATAAGTTTTTTTGGTGAAAATAAAAAATGCGTATAGTGATATACAAAAAAGTTTTTTAAGGGCCAGGCATGGTAGCCTAGTGGCTAAAGTTCTTGCCTTGTACACACCAGGATCCCATATGGGTGTTGGTTCTAATCCTGTCAGCCCTGCTTCCCATCCAGCTCCCTGTTTGTGGCCTGGGAAAGCAGTCGAGGATGGCCCAAAGCCTTGAGACCCTGCACCCATGTGGGAGACCTGGAAGAGCTCGTGGTTCCCGGCTTCAGATCTGTGCAGCACCGGCTGTTGCGGTCAATTGGGAAATGAATCAGTGGATGGAAGATCTCCCTCTCTGTCTCTCCTCCTCTATGTATATCTGCCTTTTCAATAAAAATAAATCAAAATTTTTAAAATGTGTTTTATGAAAACATTATGCTTGAATTTAAAAATTTTCACCAAAAATAAATTTATTTTAATTCTATTTTCTTATGAACTTTTTATTAACCATGTATATAGCATTAGGGCAAATACGAAGCCTATAAAGGGCTAAACAATTTTATAGGTTTATTTATTTATTTATTTATTTGAAAGGAAGATTCACAGAAAGAGAGAGTCTTCTATCTGCTCATTTACTGCTCAAATGGCCAGAACAGCATGAACTAGGCCAAACTGAAGCCAAGAGATTTTTCCAGTTCTCCCACATGGGTACAATCAAGGAAAAGCTGAAGAAATATCCCACATTAAAGGATACTAAAGGAGATAAGTGAATACTAGACCCTTTTATTATGCAGGACATTAAAATGATTAAATGTGATGTGCCTAGCGGCCAAAGTCCTCACCTTGAACACGCCAGGATCCCATATGGATGCCAGTTCTAATCCCGGCAGCTCCACTTCCCATCCAGCTCTCTGCTTGTGGCCTGGGAAGGCAGTTGAGGATGGCCCAAATCCTTGGGACCCTGCACCCATGTGGGAGACCTAGAAGGGGTTCCTGGTTCCTGGCTTTGGATCAGCACAGCACCGGCTGTTGCGGTCACTTGGGGAGTGAATCATCTGATGGAAGATCTTCCTTTCTGTCTCTCTTCCTCTCCGTATATCTGACTTTCCAATAAAAATAAAATAAATCTTTGAGAAGAAATAAGCAAAATTGATTAAATGTGACTTGACATGTAGTGATTGGATGGTAATATCTGAATGAATATTTACTTTCTCATTTATATAGGAAAATGCTTTTGGTTTTAGAAAAGGACTAAACTAGTGTTAAGGCAACATGTTGCTCTTTAACTCAATTCAGTGAGAATTATGTCCATGTTATATACTTAAAAGAAATCTAAGGATTTATAGTAAGATGTGATCATAATTGTCCATGCCTAAACATTTCCTTGCTTGGGACTGATGTGATGGTTCACTTGACTAATCCTCTGCCTGCAAGTGACAGCATCCCATTTGGGCTCCAATTAATGTCCTGACTGCTCTATTTCCTGTCTAGTTCCCTGCTGTATGGTCTGGGAAAGTAAAAGAGGATGGCCCAAAGCCTAGGACCCTGTACCCACAGTGGAGACCTGTAAAAGATTTCTTGCTTCTGGCTTTGGATCAGCACAGCTCTTGCCATTGCATCTGTCTGGGGAGTGAGCCAGCTGAGGAGATCTTTCTTTTTGTAATATGCCTTTCCAATAAAATAAATTAATAAATCCCTTAAAATTTTTTTAGTTGTGCCTTACTTTAGGAACATTGCTTTTCCTCATCAGCTAGATATTTTGTTCTTTTTCACAAAAAGGTTTATTTGTTTTTGTTGGAAAGGCAGATTTACAGAGGGGAGAGACAGTGAAATCTTCCATCTGCTGGTTCACTCACTATGTGGCTGCAACAGCCTGAGCTTCTCTGATGCCAGGAGCTTTTTCCATGTCCCCCACCTGGGTGCAGGGTTCCAATGCTTTGGACCAGGTTCTATTGCTTTCCAAGGCCATAAGCAGGGAGTTAGGTGGGAAGTAGTGATGCTAGGACACAGAGAGGCATCCATATGGGATCCCGGTGCATGCCAGGCGAGGATTTAGCCACTGGGCCATCATGATAGGCCCAATAATTTTGTTCTTGAGCATACTTCTTAGTCATCCCAATCTTTTCTTGTGTGTAGTAAACTGTAAGATTTCCCCTTGACCTCTTCTTTCTGTTAGTGACTTTGTTTATTCCTTTCAGTTATAGGTGTATGACTCATAAAGTGACTGTTCTAGTCTCCTGGTCTTTAGACTTACTCATTACTTGAACTTAGCGTTCTTTAGTACTTCAACCCAGACCTGTGGTGTAAGTCAATTTTGGGTTGACTTCCAGGGCTCGGTAATACATACACATGTTGTCTAAAAAAATATGATATCTAATTTTTTTATGCCAAATGTAAATTTAGTAAAGTGTGTTTTGCAATAAATGAGAGAAAATTGCAGAGTGGTTGCTCTTTTTACTGGGCCAGGAAAGCAATTTAGAATCATTTCCAAATAAAAAGTCTCTAATCACAAATAAACAAACCAAAAAATCCCCTAGAATAGATAGATAGAGAACGCTATGAACTGCTAAATACTAAAATTAAAATAGACATGAGAGAGCTGAATAGTAATCTATAGCCATTTTAAGGTGTATAGAACCCAGTTGTATATAAACTAATAGTTGTAATGTCAATGTAGAAGTCATAGGATGTGGTTCAGAACTTGTACTCTTTTCTCTCTCTCTCTCTCTCCCTCTCTCTTTTAACATGCTGGTTACACAATACCATGTCAACTAATTCCATTATGTTATAAATTGTTACTGATGTAATGCTGGGGTTTTTAATTGTTTGGGATGATACTGTATCAGCTCTACCTTCAGACCAGAGATAGTCTCCCCAAGAAACTGTTGAACTTATCTGGACAATAAGATGCTGGACTCTATGCTTTGTAGATGCTTGCAAGGAAAGAATCTCAACTGAATCTGAACTGTAGTAATGCAACAAGAATCCATCATGGGGGGGCGGGTTTTGGGGAGGAAAGGGGGGAGTTCCAGAGGCTATAAAACTGTGTCACATAATACAGTGTAATCAATAAAAAATAAATTTAAAAAAAGCCACCCCACCCCCCCAAAATTATTCATTCATTTGAAAACAGTGCAATAGATGGAAAGGGAGACAAAAAGAGATCCTCAGGCCTGACGCTGTGACCCAGCGGCTAGGGTCCTTGCCTTGAGCACACTGGGATCCCATATGGGTGCTCGTTCTAGTCCTGGCAGCTCCACTTCCCATCCAGCTCCCTGCTTGTGGCCGGGGAGGGCATTTGAGGACGGCCCCAGGCTTTGGGATCTTGTACCTGCGTGGGAGACCTGGAGGAGGTTCCTCGCTCCTGGCTTCGGATCAGCACAGCTGGTTCATTCTCCTAATGGCCTGTGCTACCAAAGGGTAGCCAGGAGCCAGAAATTCCAGATTGGTATATCAGCTGTTGGTAGGGGCCCATGCAGTTGGCCTGTCATTTGCTGCCTTCCCAGCCATGTTAACAGGAGGATGGATGAAAATTTGAAGACTCAAACTGGCATTTGTATATGAGTTTATAGTATCTCAGTGACTTAATCCACTGCACTGAAATACCTGGCCCACAGTTTTTGGTTATTCAGTAAAGCTTTAGTAGGTAATAGAGGACTATGACAGGTACTGTGTACGATTTTCAACTGAAAGTCTGACTCTGAAATAAAAATTGCTAACAAGAATGAAGATGACAAAAATATCAATATCTATGTAAAAGAACTGCTCAGCATAAAGCTGTTAGGCCGTCATCTTTAACACACGTGCTTCCTGTTGCATTGTGATAATGTCAGAAATGCCTGTTTGTATATGAATCATGTTGCTTTCGAAGTGATTTTATTTTCTTATTTAATGAAAGATTATAAATTAACAGTGAATGGCTTCAAGAATGCCATTCAAATTCTCTGTATAAAGATTTATTTTAAAATAGTTTCAAATGTTTCATAAAATGATAAACCTCTCTTCATAAGAGATGTAAAAATGGAAAATATGTATTATGAAACAATCTAAGAATTTCAAAAGCACTTGCACCTATATATATATATATATAATTCTTTTTTCACAAATTTTTTGAAGTATCCTTGTACTGTGGATGCTAGTATATTATTTAAAGTAATTTAATTTTTAGCATTTATTTGGGCCATTACTTTCACTAGTTGATGATATTTAATAACTATGAAAAATATTAGCTTGCCATATCTGAAGGAAATTAAAATTGCTCCGTTTTTCCCTGCCAGAGGTCTCTTTATCAGTATCCATGATCGAGGACACATTGCTTCAATTCTCAATGCATGGCCAGAAGATGTCATCAAGGTAAGTTGTCAAGTTTCTCCACTGTCATAAATTTCCTTTTCTTTTTGTCCAGAAGCCATTTAAAACATTGCAAATTGTTCTATTACTAGATTTTCTAGTGAATATAATGTAATTTCTATCCTTTTGAAATCTGCATCATGGGACTGATTTTATTTTCATGCTATTTAAACACCAAGTTTACTCCTTATTTTTTTAATCTAATTTTAGTGTCACTTTATTCTTTGTAAGTGATGATACACATGTATACATATATATATACGCATAAATAATATCTAGTGCACCAGAATTTCTTTAAAAAAAAAAAAAAACCTCCCTGCTTTATCTATTGAGTTCAGTGATCCATCGAGTGAAATTTAACTTGACAAACACATCTGTTAAGTCATTTATTTTATCATCATGATTTTAAGGAGTTCACTTAACGTTTTTCTAGGAGGAAGCTATTGAAGTAATTACAGTACCAGATGCCTGATGGCTTTCTGTGAGACACTTCACCTGTATTAATGCTTAGGATTATTATGATAAATTTGCAATGAAACAAAGACTCAGACAGATTATATAGTATTGCATGGTTGGTGGGAATTGTATACAAGCCTTAGAGTTTTCACTAGAGCCTTGCTCGTTAAAAAAAAAAAAAAAACTTTAATTAGTTCTTGACAAATTCAGTGTAGTTTGTAGATGCAATCCTAATGACAATGTCATTTCCTCCCTGCTTTGTTCCCCTTTTTGCTTTCACATTCTTCTTTCTCCTTTTCATTTCTTGTTAGTTTTTGAGATAGCATTTTATAGTAAAAACACTTCATATTTCACTAAGAAGTTTAACAAGTCCGAAGCAAAAAGACCCTATGTAGTGTTAATATAGACAGCCACTATAAACAGCAATTAAATAGGAAAATGACCATTTCACTCATATATAGTACATTTACAGTAGTCATGGATCACTAAAACTGTAGAAGTGTAATAAAAGAGACATGTGGTATTTGTCCTACTATATCCAGCTTAATTTTGCACAACATCATTTCCTTCAGTTTTGTCGATTTTTCTGTACGTGGCAGAATATGTTTCATTGTTTTTTGTAGCTGAATAATATTTCATTGTATGTAATTTTTTTTATCTTCATCTGATGATGGACACTTTGACTGATTGCAAATTTTGACTATTTTGAACACTGCTGCCATAAATGTGGTGGTGCAGGTATCTCTTTGATACTGTGTATTCAAGGTTTTGGGGGTCTGTATTACCCAGGAATGCACAGCCTGCTCTTAAGAGTGGTGTTATGCTGCTTTCCTCATCCAAGGGAAGTGAGATGTACCTGGTTTCTTGTTTCCTTTTTGTTGAGTGCCTGGCCACTTAAGCTAAATCATAAGACAAAGATTGGATAAATCATTGCCTTTTGGCAGCATAGACATACTTCAGTGTTGACTTCTGAATGTGACTCCTTTAATGATCTTGTCTACTTGCATTTTTTTTTTTTTTAAGATTTGTTTACTTTTATTTAAAATCGGATTCAGGGCCCGGCGCGGTGGCGCAAGTGGTTAAAGGTCCTCGCCTTGCACGCCCGGGATCCCATATGGGCGCCGGTTCTAATCCCGGCAGCCCCACTTCCCTTCCAGCTCCCTGCCTGTGGCCTGGGAAAGCAGTCGAGGATGGCCCAAAGCTTTGGGAACCTGCACCCGCGTGGGAGACCTGCAAGAGGCTCCTGGCTTCGGATCGGCATAGTATCGACCCGTTGCGCTCACTTGGGGAGTGAATCATCGGACGGAAGATCTTCCTCTCTGTCTCTCCTCTCTGTACATCCGCCTTTCCAATAACAAAATAATAAAAATAAATCTTTAAAATCGGATTCATAGAGAGAAGGAAAGACAGAGAGAATGATATTCCATCCTCTGATTCACTCCCCAAATGGCCACAATGAAGGGAACTGAGCCAATGCAAAGCAAGGGTCCAGACGCTGCTTCCGGGTCTCCCATGTGGGTGGGCCACCTTACATCTTACACTGCTTTCTCAGGCCACGTGCGGGAGGCTGGATAGCATTGAAGCAGTTAGGGCACAAAATGTTTTCCGTATGGTATTATGGCATTTGAAGGTAAAGGATTAGCTTGTTGAGCTATGACACAGCCCCTTTGTACATTTTTTTTTCCCACGATTGATTAATTTGGCTCTCTAAGGCTCATGCTAGACACATTTCTAAAATAATATGATTTTCATTATTTCTAGTCTTCCCAATTTTTTTCACTTTCCCTATCTGTAATTGTTCCTCTACTTTTTGTGTACGAAATAAGTCGCTCTAAGTCGATTATTGGAATCTACTCTAAGAAATTTAATTCAATACAGGAATGTGTCAAAATTTAGTGAAACTATTTATATTTTATCTAGGATCTTATAGAGGATTGTAAGACTCAATCAGTCAATAAAGGATATAGTTCTGGAGTAAGTTCTTTTTTTAATACAAAGCGAACAAATTTCCTGTGTTTTACAATGCAGTTTTAGGAATCTAGTGATACTTCCAAGTCTACCCTCTGTCCCCTATCCCCTGTTCAGGGTGGCATGGCCATAGACAACATGACAAGTTCTAATTAACACATATAATAACAGCTAATCAAAAGCAGTCATTTTTCTTCTTATTCCTTCAACTAGCTAGTTTCTGCATATGTTAACTGGATTAATTGCCTATATCCTGTGGACTCTAATATTGGGCCGTCACTCATGCTCTTGAACCTAACTGTGTCGATTAATTTAAAATGCTGAACACAGTGTCTGACACATATTAGGGACTTAATAAATGGGAGCTATTGATTATAAAAGAATACTGAAGTATAACAAAATACTGAAATATGAAATGTGATACAAAGGTAAATAATTATTAGATAAAATATCATTAAATTTTTCAATATGGCAATTGCCATAATCACTCATTTGGAAGAGAATGTGATTCACTAAGGCCAGAATAGTGAAAATAACTTTTACAACAAAATTGGAACCTAACTCTAACTTTTGGCCATTAGAAAGAGAAGAAGATACTTTCTTAAGAAGGGAACATACAAATGTGATATCAAGTTCAGGAAGAAAATTGTATGTTCTTAGTAAGAAATTTAGGTGGCTCTCTAAAGCTGAGTGCTAAGGCTGAGATGTAGTCAAACTGAACAAGCTCAGATTATTGTTAAAGGCTTTGAAATTAAAAAAATGAAAAGGCTTATAGACTTAAAAAACAGAATATTACTCTTCACACCATGGGACTGTTCCATTCTCAGAGTTGGTTGAATGGGGCCAGGCGAAACCCACAGATACAGAATACCCAACTGTTCTCATACAAGATATAGGAGGTGCACATGCTTGGTTCAAGAACATTCCTCCAATTCAGAAGGAGGGTAAGCTGTTGTCACAGCATCACAACATACCAAGTTCTTATGCATATGAATGCCAAAGATAAGGGTCTTCAAATGAAAGAGCAAATGGCACCACAGTCCTTCTCTCTGCAGTCCTGCTGTGGTATAGAATGAACATGACAGCCAGAAAATGAAACTAATAAATAAAACCAGGTAGCTACAGGATAGCAGAATTCACTCAACTGAAGGACAGGTCAGAGAAGGAGTGAGCTGATGAAAACATAGGAGCCATGAAGGCTAGAATTAAAGTTTATGTGCCATCCAGAGATTTGGAAAAGACAAACCAAACTGAAATTTTATAAGTATCTTTGCAAAAAAAAAAAAAAATTAGTCTTCGCTTTCAGAGGGCCACATTGGATACCAACTAGAATTAGCTAAAAAAATTACACCAGTCACTGACACATCATATTGTAAATTGAAAATCACAGCAATAAGGGGAATTTCCTTAGAGTTCATGGCAGATATGGAAGAATTTGGAAAATTTGCACGTTATAGATTGTATGAAGAATTACTCAAACAAAATAAAAATAAACCCAAGAAAGACAGACACAGGGTATCATAAAAATAAGCAGTGACAGTAGTAAAAGTCTAAGTCCAAATAATTTCTTATAATATGGACAAAAAGCATGGATTATCATTATTTGTAATAAATAATTATGTTAATAAAAAATAGGATGTCCAAGCAAATAATTTTATGTAAATAATATTTGAGGAAGATTTATCTGGAGATTGGTTATAGATTGGCTTCTAGAGAGTAGAAAATATCAGAGTTCTGCATTCGGGTAGGCTGCGAGAGAAGCATAGGCCCTGGGTGAAGACAGGATACAAAGAGTGTGTCTGATATTCAGAACAGTCCTTCATATTTCACAAAGGAAGTTTCTTTGTAGAGATCCAAGATGTCAGAATAGGGAAAAGATGTGAAGATTCTGACCATAAGAAGACAATGGAAAAAAAGGAAAGGAAAGGAGCAACATGCTCAAGACAGTTAAAAGTTTACAGCAGAAATTCTACAAAAGGAAGAGAGACACTTTGGAGCAGTGGGGACAGTGCAATTATACAGCAACAGAGTCCCATCACTGGCCATGTCCACACCTGGCAGCTGGAGGCGATAACAAGGCAAGTACAGCTAACAAGGAGGAAATGTTAGCTTAATAGGACAAGTAGAGGCTACTGTGGCCCACATACAACTTGTGGATATTATTAGAGGGATAAATCCACAGTCTGCATTAACTTTATGTCTGGCCTAGAGAGTTGGTAGGGCCAACGAGCTCACATAGACTTGTCCAGTGCTCACCTCCTTTCATGCTATCAAGGTGCCCACACTTGAAAAAGGTGAGCACCAACCAATATCTGTGGATTCAGCCACTAACTCTGGGAATGCCACGGCTCTTTCTGTGGATGTTTGTAGGGTTGACAGTGCTTACCTTACTTCCTATGACAATGAGAGACCTGTGCCCTGTAATTGTGGAATCCTGTGGCTATATTATAGGGTGTGTGATAAGGTGTGGCTGGGTTTTTAAGCAATCACTGTGTCTGACATCAGAGGCTTAGAGTTTTGTGCTCACACTGAGCACACACAGATCCTTTGTGCAGTCCATGTGTCTGCATGGGTGTGGT